TGTGAAAACTGAACAAAATCGTATTCCAACAAAAGTCTTTCTCGAAATGGAAAAGGTTCAGTACAAATAGTAAAACGAAACTAGAACGAATGTTATTACTGGATATGATTTCGTCCAATCAGGGGCAGCGGCGGCCATCTTGGATGGTTGACCCGGAAAAAAAAGAGTAAGATTCACAACTAGATATCGTACTGATTGTGTATGCAAAGTATGATCCAAATCCCATCAGAAGTTCCTGAGAGTAGTCGCAGAGAAAAGCGATGGAAGAATAATAATTAGTCTCCCCGACTTCGTTCGGATGACTTAATAATAATATTAAGTAAGAAACGGAACAATGACAATAAGTCTCCCGACTACGTTCGTGGTGACTTAATAATAATAATAAGTAAGAAACGGAACAATAAGTCTCCCGACTTCGTTCGGGGTGACTTAATAATAATAATAATAAGTAAGAAACGGAACAATAACAATAAGTCTCCCGGTCATCGTTCGGGGTGACTTTATAATAATAATAAGTAAGAAACGGAACAATGACAATAAGTCTCACGTTTTCGTTCGGGGTGACTTAATAATAATAATAAGTATGAAACGGAACAATAACAATAAGTCTCCCCGACTTCGTTCAGGGTGACTTAATAATAATAATGAGTAAGGAACGGAACAATAACAATAGGTCTCCCCGACTTCGTTCGGGGTGACTTTATTATAATAATAAGTAAGAAACGGAACAATAACAATAAGTCTCGCCGTCTTCGTTCGGGGTGACTTAATAATAATAATGAGTAAGAAACGGAACAATAACAATAAGTCTCCCCGACTTCGTTCGGGGTGACTTTATTATAATAATTAGTAAGAAACGGAACAATAACAATAAGTCTCGCCGACATCGTTCGGGGTGAGTTAATAAAAGGAATAAGTAAGAAATGGAACAATAACAACAAGTCTCGCCGACTTCGTTCGGGGTGATTTAATTATAATAATAATGAGTAAGAAACGGAACAATAACAATAAGTCTCATCGACTTCGTTCGGGGTGAGTTAATTAACGACAACTGAATCTCTAGGACTGGTTTCTTTGTTGCTGTGGTTCTGCTATCGATTGGATGATAATTTTAATGCCTTGAAAGCTCCAGCGTTAGTTTAAAACATGGTTAATAAATATATTTTGTCATAAACACTTATCTACTGTATTTTGGGGTAAATAATTGACACCTGAATTTTACAATAATGTGAATCAAAATTTTGAAATATCCGGTACGGACAGCAACCACGAAAACATAATTGTCATCAAATTTTGTTTCATATTGTATTACTTTGATAATGTTTGGACGGGTACTTTTAGTAATTAATGTCTAAGATGCTTCTTTATATTTATATTTTAACAAATGACGCCGATAACTTTAGCATAATCAAACATAAAAGATTAACAACATGTTCAGTTCTTAATTTGAAATACTCTACAGATTTTACAATAAATACTATTTTATGTAGATTAAGTTTTAGTTTTTAATGTTATCTGAAATTAATCTTTAAAATCTGTCGTTCCAGACTGTTAGTTTAGTAATACGAACATAAACCAAAGACCATCTGGGAAATATTTGACAGTGCAATATGGATTCCCTAGTTGATCAGGAGTCAATAACATCCGTGACTTTAAGAGCTAATTAGTCTACTCTAAATTTTAAATTTAAATTGTATTTATTCAATTAATGAAGTACATGAAAAACATATATAAAACCGTTTAATCTTTCTAACAAACAAGTGGCCTTATATATTACTAATATTTGATAATACTACATGTACATGTAAATAAATTAAGAAAAGAAAAGTATGTGCTTAGGGACATGTTACGAAAGATGAATTGATATTCCATGAAATGATAATTTATTATATCATTATGACAACATTAGTAAGGTTTTCACAATTTCATTTTATCAACATATCAATAATTGTATTGCTTACCAAAACGTTTAGACTGGACAATTAAGTTTTGAACTCTCTCGAGTATTTCTATATTTAGAGCTTTTGGGGGCTAGAGTCTCCATATGACAATACATTGGTGGTAGAGAGTAGGTAGACGGTCAAGTCATTTACGCTAGATTTTAATGTCAATGTACACGAAGCCGGTCCAGGTACAATCATGGAATGTCCAGTATTACCTTCAATACCATTAATCAAACCCATTCAATTTGAAAGAAATTTCCTCCTTAATGCGTCCCCCTTTCTTTCATTTACCGTGTGAAATTAACAATTACTTGATTCCTTAGATTTATACAGGGGCCGTTACGTTATAGTAATAACATAACTTGATTAGGGAATAATCCAACTGTGTTTTGAGGTTTGTGCCGGTATATCCAGATTATGCTATCGCAAATTGTGTTCCACTTCCACCGTAGAGAGAGAGAGCTTAGATATTTTTAAATATGTTTTCAGTATCGTTCACTAATGTGTATGTGAATTGTTACACATTATTGTTAAGTATTTGTACAAATAGTAGTAAATAACCAACAACGCATTTTGATCCTGATATCCCACAGGAACCTTTGAAAACCGCTGAAAATGAGAGATAGGTATGAATATCCTCATTCATGCGTTTGAAACTAATAAAATGACGATAATGTATACCATCGTCCATAGAGCATTAATACGCCTCAGTGGAAGCACAGTACACAAACAACATCTACGTAAAACATGTCCGCTGGGGCGTGGAATTCGCGCGTCACAGCTTGTTTATATTATGGACGGTATCCATAATATTTCTTGAAATAATCCTTGCCGGCAATGATGATTTTACTGTCCAATAATATCGATATTACAAAATGAATAATACTGATATCTGTATAGAGTCCATAACTCCAGAACAGATAGCACCTTGAATAATTGATGCTATATAGTGATCAGTCGGGGTTACTCTAAGTTATATTGATTAGGGAGGCCTAATCAATAGGCCCTATCACAGACGAACTAATTAAGTACTTTTATCATTGGCGTATTTATCCCAACTGCCATGGTATAAAATATCCAGTTCTGTAATGTCTATCCAAGTACAATGTATACCCATTTTAAATTTACAAAACTTTTTACTCTTTATCGTAAGGACATCCAACTATCTTACCTATCTGCTATTAGGATCGTGTTATAATCCTGATTAATAATCGAACAATAAGGGAGATGGACATAGTACATCTGGTAATAAGTTTATCAAAAAAAAATAGCAATGCACAATACAGCTGTTTCGTCCTTCCAGAACTCATCGGTGATAATTGGTGTTAAATAGGGGGAAATCCATATTGGTCTAAACTACGTATGAAACAGAAGGGGAGTTTCGTAAACCTCTTAACTTTTTAAGTTTCAAAAGCGGTATTAAACGAATATTCAGCTTTACATACACTTTCCCCCCAAAAAAAACAAGTAACACACCGTTCTTTTGTCTTTATTTTTATATGTCTCTTATTTATCCCACTATATGCATACACAAATTATTCGGATTGAATTTTGTCCGAAAAAAATTATGTTTATTTTCCTCCCATAATATTTGTATTGCTTTATCGTTACGTTCATTGTAAAGATAATGCTATGTGTATGACACTCTGTTTATGTCAAGGAAAATCCTCTGAGAGGCGTAATCGCGGTATGGCTGATAGATATCAGCAGCTAAGGGCAACTTACCTTATGTACTTGTATATGCGCGTATGCGAGCGCGCGTGTACTGGGGACAAGGAGGAGGAAGAGGAGGCGGAGGAATCGGTTCATGTTATTGTATTGTCATATGAGATATCCGTAATGTCTTCTAGAACTGTTAATACCTACGAATATTGCTTCCGGGGCGTTGAACGGGTAATACTATTTTTCTATTGTTTTCATCTTTAAAGCTTTATCATTATCAAGGATGAAATCTCTCGTTTATAGGTCTTTAGAGAATACAATTAATTGGAGGAAGCCTGGGATATTTATTCCATCTATCTGGAAACGGGTTGGACTCTAGAGATAGCATAGACATGCATTCTTAATGTAATAATACCAAACTGACAAACTAATTAGTTACACTTTAATGTTTGATATGATATCAATCTATTTGAAAACAATGTGATTTGACATGATGACGTGCTTCATTTGTTATGATAATAGTCAAAAGGGTTGTCGATTTCGTATTTGTTAAAGGGTCTTGTTACCTTTGAAAGTGACAACAGGAAAATGTCACACTGCATTCTTTTTGAGATAATTCTTACTGGTTGTATAATGGTGATTTGTATGTCTTTTTTGTTTTAAATTAATTTTACAAATAATACAGGGCACTATATCAATGTTGTATATTATTATTATATGAAAACAATCGAGAGAAATACAAATTATCGAAACATTATTCTACACTAGTTTGTTTTGAATACACACGTATTTAAATATCTAAAAAATAGTTTTTTTTAAAGAACTTTCAGTATTAGAAAACCATTTTTCTAGTTAATGTGGTGTACACATTTCAATATACATATAAAATGCCCTTATATTTATCAAAATAATATCCTATTTCAATGCAAATACTTAGCAATTGATTGACTTACAAATGTCACTCATAAATATCAAACACTATTTAACCTCAACGAGCCATTTAATCTACAAGCAGGAATGGGTCGCTTTAATTGTATTCTGCCAAGTGCTACATAGGAATCATGTATAGTGTGTGGCGCATGCTCCAGTGCATCTATATATATATGGACATTATAAGCGTGGCGTTTTGATAAAGGAGTACTATATACGCATTAGGATCATAGGAAATAGAGTTGTTTGAAAAAAAGGAATTTCATTATAAGGGAATATAGATATTCATTGATATTTTAATGTAGAAAAAGGCAAACTTATGTAATATTTAATACAAACAAACAGAAAAAAAGACTTGCATAATTGAGAAAGGGAATAAGTGATTTTAGGGACACACAAGACTGATTCTACGAAATACATTTGTGATTAACTTGAAACAAATGTGCTTTTCTAGGGAGTAAAGATAACCATCAAATCAACAAAGGCTGAAGAAAAAAACAAATCGTCATGTTTCAGCCATTGGAGATGTTTATGGAATACACCTCAGTGCATGGTCTCGGACGCATCGCTACTGTGAAACATATACTACACAAACTGTTGTGGACCGTTCTCTTTCTTGCCTCTCTCGGAATGTGTATATACCAGGTTACTCGTTTGGGACAGCAATTCGTTTCGTAAGTGTTTTTCCTTTTGGTTGCTCTTTCATCAGAACTCTGCATATTCGTCTTCAAAATACTGTTAGTTATATTCTAAATAAATCTTTGTTTGAAAATTCTTATTGTTATATAATCGACATTTTAAGATATATGTTTAATACATTTTACGTCACAATAACGATAAGACACTATCAATATGCCAAACATATGTTAAACAGTGTATATATGCAGTCACATGTGGGTTTTCGATTTCTAAATCCATAACATGTCTTAATACATGGACATTTGCAAATTGTATCGAAATTATATCAAAAGATTTTAGCAGGACCTTGGTTGGTTTGATTAGGTTTAAAGTTCTATCAACTGCTAAGATTATTTGAGACCCTGGATTGCAAAATGAATATGCTCAAACAATTATTCATGTTTTAAGTTTAAAGGTTGGCGACTCATCTGGAGTTTATTACCATTCACAGTAAAACATTATAAAAAATCATAACTAGCTTTTTATACAGATACATTGTTTTGCTAAATATTGAAAAAAATGCCAAGATAATAAACGAAACCTCAAAAAGCAGCTGAATAGCACACTAGAGTCTATCGTAATGTAAACAAGGTCAACCAAATAGATGTCTTTTGATACAGATTGACGATTTAGTAGTTGTTAAGTACAGAATCTTAACACCAAACACAGAAGTGGATGCAATTATTAATTGTTAGACTGATTTGTTTATGACAAATCAAGCAAGGTCGTTTTACATATACTTACATGTATTTCACATGTGTCATTTTGATAGGCAAATAGGAAAACAATAATATAAACTGTAGACCAACAAATAATCATATTGAGTATGACCGTCTTTTCATTTGCTTAGGAAGAGTAGGTTTTCGAGAAAATCTGGGAAAAGTCTGTGTATTAAATACTATATCTTGTAGCATAAATATGCCTTCAGACTAAATGCACATTCTTCTTTGTTTTGTTTAATGGCTATCCCTTGCTGTTCTGCGATATTAGAGTTTTGATGGACCACACTAACAATTTTGTAATTCATGTTACTGATTGGAAAAAAACCGAAGTTTGTTAAGACAAATGTATTTATCTAAAACATAGTACACATACTAATTAACCACTTGATAAGTCTAATACTTTATGTTGGTGGTAATTAGGTCATGACATCCATGTTTAAAATCAATCTACATATCTTTATAGATGTATTCTATCTCACATATTTACAAAGAACTACTACACCAATCCGAAGTTCTGACCCTTCTCCGCGTTAGTCAGTATTCTTTACAGACAGTATGTACACACACACATCGTGTCTACCAACAGTAAAGTTGGTCTATAAATTGATAGAGTAAATAATTTGAACGACTGACTAACTTATTTCTTAACCATCATAGATAGGAGAAATGCTATATATATCGATTGACTTGTTGCTACCGTACTTCACAGCGTGTATTCTGTTATGTAGAAGTTATTCTTGTTGCATATACCGACTTTTTAGTTGCTATTTTGGTATTTGATCGTACCTCCTAGCCGGCTTTGATCTTTCTGCAAGTCTCATAGTAAAGTTCCTGTAAGTTCTATTTCCAAATAAGGTATCCCTTAGATCTTACACGAATATCTTAATAAAGGTATAAAGGTTGGTGAAGCTGTATGTAAAACAATGTAGTGATAAATATTACAGGATTCTCTAAAGGACAAAAGAATATTTTCAACCGAGTCAGGAGGCAATCCATCCGATCCAAAAGATTTCCCCGAGGAAGAATGTTTCGTGTGTAAAATTGATCGGTATGAAATGAGGAATACAATTAAACAGGTGTCGATTGGATTTTGAACAATGATCTTTGTTCACACAATCGTTGCTTGAGGAGATTGTTGTTGCTCATCACATGTAAATGTTTAGCTCACTGAAAACAACTTGTCTAAACTCATGCTCAAGTTTACAATAAAATGGAAACATCAGCTCGTATCTTTAGTGATGGTGTCATTGCAGACAAAGTGATGAGTCTGAATATAGACGACTGTCTTCTATAAAGATGTAAGGACGATGGAAAGTTATTTGGTTGAAGAGGAAAATGTGCAAGCTTTGTCTATACTGACTTGGTCTGAAATAAGAGAAATCAAATTTGGAGTTTTTAACTCTAACAAGCTAAATCATGCTTGAAAACGCTATACTGATAATTGACAGTACGAATGATGATCCGTATTAAAACGATCTGATCTGATCTGATCGAAGTACAAACCAGGTCTTTCATCTTTCATCTAAGGTTTATAACTATTGAAAATTGAACAAGCAGCAGGCTCTAATCAAATAATTGATTACCATCAAGTTTCAATTTTAATAAAACTGAATTAGATTGTTGGTCCTTATCTTACATTAATCTTTAATGAACAACTAAGATAGCCCAAATGTTTGTTAATTATGATGCATGTGACAATGTTAATATGGTAAATATTGTCTAAAGACACTAATTAGCATTCAAGTGTGCGTAGATACTCGAATACGTATTGAAAATGAATGTTCTCGTATTGAAACCATTCAAAACGAATTTTGTAAGAATTTGTCTATTGTCACCTGTTTTACAAACAGGTAAAACTTATTTGTATAGAAAATACTGGGAAAATATTGAAATACATTATTTTCGTTGCGCATTAATTTATTCAATGTTTGTTTTGTAAGTTCGTTGGTGGCGGATTGGTTGGGATTTAAGTATTTTTTTCTCTCGAAAATTGCGTTTCTTTCGTTTTGTATTAATACAGACAGCTATGTTTTTTTTTTCTTTTAGATGAACAAAAATGCATAGATGTCCCATAATTACGATAAACTTACAATGGTTTTTTAAAAATGGAAAATGACTCGAAAAAAACACCGATTTCATACACCATTTGGTACCGCAATGAAGATCAAATTCAAATTCAAAAAAAAAATAAAAAAAATACAAAGTTACAAAAGAAAGGAAAAGAAAGAAAAAAAAATCTTGTATCATACGTATTAATCAAAATGATCAGATTTCAAACACATTATTACAAAGGTAATTTGTTAACTATTAATGAGTGACATGGCAACAGTATATACCATATTAACGTTATTTATTGTTTTCGAATATTCTAAGAAATTGTTGAGAATCAGATCATGTTAATGCCGTAATATTTATGTATATTAAAATATTATATTGAAGCATTTTTGATAGAATACCAAAGCTACATCATATATTGATCTTATTCTTACACTATTGTATGGATCGATTGTTGTAGTAACCCGATCAGCACCACCATTTCACTTAAATATGAACCTCAGGATTTCCCGTCTGTCTCCATATGTAACCTCAACCCTGCACAATTTTCCAAAATTGTTGGGATCCGGGAATTTCACCACATCCTGCATGAATCTTCCGATCACGGTGGTATACCATTAGAAAGATTTAGAAACTTAAGTGGACTGACATTTCCGGTTAGTATATAGAGTTGTTTTGTGTAGATATAAGCTATCTGTAATATTGTGTTTTTAAATTCTTAAATTCTGAATTCATATAAGATTCTTTATACTTTTCCGTTTTGATCATTGGGTGACAGCATCATATTAAGATACACATGCATGCAAATATGATCGAAGATGTGTTATAAGGTGCAAACACGTTACTACATTTATATAAAAGATATTTCAAATTTATGTTATTATTCATATAGAAACCAGTTTAATGATGTGCTTGAATTCTATTTTCAGCTGCCGAACTTCACATATACAGCAGACGAAAACTTCAACCTCAGTAAGCTTCTGTAATAATATGTGTTCTGATCGTAAAGGAAAATGATATTTTAATTTTGTTAAATAAAATAATGTAGAATCAAACATACTTGGGAAAATTGATTCCAAATATAAGAGATTGTATTAAAAAACCCACCTTATATTCGAACGTTAATTATATATAAGCCTCCAGATAGTCAGGCAGGTACAAACTCGAAGTAGTCGAAGCGAGCTCAAACTTCAAGATCGTCGAAGTAAGAACAAACCTTGAGATAATCGAAGTGAATACAAATCTCGAGTAAGTCGAAACGGGAGCAAACTTCAAAATAATCTGAGCGAGCAAAACCCATCCTCGGTATCCAGGGGTTACGCTCACTTTCCTCTCTACACCCCTGGAATATGTCATAGCAAAATTGAAGGCTCAGTGTGCGCCACCTTGTTGCTGAGACAAGACGACTAGTTCGATCCTTTTATGTACATCAAAAGAATATCGCGGTCATGGAACGGTAACAATTGACAGGCTTTGAAGTCGGGCGTCTCTCCTTTGTCATCTTCAAAGGACAGGTATCAGCCTAGCGATTGGTCAGTTGTTTTTTACCTGAGACCAATCAAGCAGCTATGTTTGTGCCTTCAATTTTCCTATGACATATTCCAGGGGTGTAGAGAGGGAAGAGAGCGTAATCCCTGGATATCGAGAATGGCACCAACCTTAACCCTCTAATCCCAAATTCTGATATTAAATTAGATGAAATCCATAGGAAAGATAGGACAACAGGTCATGGTGGTGGTGTAATTATCTATCATAAAAACATTATTCTTACTAAACGTAGACATGATTTTGAAAATGAACCTATAGTAATGATTTGGATAGAAGTTTTAATTAAAAACCATAAATTTTTGCTTGGATGTATATATAGACCTGATTCCAATATAGAATACTGGAGTAAATTTGAACAAATCCTTGATAAAGCTAGTGAAACTTCCATGGATCTACTAATTACTGGTGACTTAAATGTTGATATGCTAAGAACCCCACACACTTGTCACTTATCTAGACTCTTAACTAAATTCAATCTAAAAAGTATTATTAATAAATCTATTAGAGTGACACCTGATAGTGCAACCTCTATAGATGTTGTCTTTACAAATAATCCTTCCATAGTGAAAAGTGAAAAAAACACATGTTGACTCTGCTTTCTGTAATGACCGCTCCCCTATATATATATGGAAGTTTGTTATGCTATCTTCAAACATAAAGCATATAAAAAGACTATATGGATGTATAACAATACTGACTATAATATTATGAATGACTAACTAAATGCCATTGACTGGAACTTAATTGCTGCTGATATGGATACCCATGAATTTAGTATATTTTTAACTAAATCTATATCTGACAAAATACATTCCTAGTAAAACTATTACAATCCGACCTGAGGACATGCCATGGATGAATACCAATATTAGGCTAAAGATGAGTCAAAGAAATAGGATACAGAAAGCCAGACATAATGACAAAATAGAGCATTGGAATAAATAGAAACAAATAAGGAATGATGTTATTAATCTGGTAAGAGACACAAAACATAATTATCTTGATAAACTTCAAAAGTCCATCAGTGATAAATCATTGCCCCCTAATAAATGGTGGAAAATTGCTAAATCCATGACTAATTTTAACAATAAAACTGAACCAATTCCACCATTGAATGTTAACAATACACTGATTCAACATCCAACTGATAAAGCTGAAGCCCTAAATGAATATTTTACTTCTATAGCCACAACATCAGATACACTTGTGGAACCTCCAGTATTAGATATCTCCACTCTAACAAAATTAGAAAACATAATAGTCTCTGAGCAAGATGTTGATGATCAAATTACTATATTAAATGAAAATAAACCAGCAGGACCTGATGGCATGTTACCTAAAGTCATAAAAAAGTTAAAACCTTCCTTAATACTCCCACTTACAATTTTATTTAACAAAACTATATCTTACGGGTGCATACCTGGGTCATGGCAGATGGCTAATGTTAGTGCTGTATACAAAGGGAATGGTTTAAAAAAAAATATTCCAATTATCGACCAATATCTGTCACATCATGTTTTAATAAAATCTTTAGGCTTTAAACCAGGTGATTCAACATTAAACCAACTTATCTCTATATACCACACTATAATTAGCAATCTGGATAAAGGGAAAGAATTAAGGTTTGTATTTTGCGACATCAACAAGGCTTTTGATAGAGTTTGGCACAAAGGGTTACTACATAAACTAAAAGCATATGGTAATCAGGCAATGTTTTTAACTGGTTTGAGAATTATCTTGAAGATAGAAAGCAGAGAGTTCTAACTGAAGGTCATTTTTCTACTTCTAGGGTGGTTAATGCCGGTGTTCCTCAGGGATCAGTTATCGGTCCTTTTTTTTATTTCTATTATACCTTAATGACATCACTGATATAGTCCAGAGTAACATTAAGCTGTTTGCAGACGATACATCATTATATGTCAACGTAGACGAAAATCCACAACTATCAGCAGATTATCTTAACCAAGACCTAGATAGCATTAACAACTGGGCTAGTCCATGGGAAATTAAATTTAACCCCTCTAAAACCAAATCACTATTTTTTCTAGAAAAAAAAGAACCCATCCATCCTCTAATTAATTTCTCTAATACTTGTTTAGATAATGTCCATGCTAACAAACGTCTTGGATTAACTTTTTCTGAAGATGGCACTTAGTCTACCCATGTTCAATTAGTATCTGAAAAGGCTAGTAAAAGAATAAATATGCTTAGGTATCTGAAATATAAGATTTATAGGATATCACTATGCAAAATATATACAACATTTATCCGTCCAATGCTTAAATATGCAGATATTGTCTGGGACAACATCTCTGACAATCTTAAAAAAATATTAGAATTTGTACAACTAGAAGCTGCAAGGATTATCACAGGCCTAAGGAAAGGTACATCACACCAAACTCTATATAAAGAACTAGGCTGGAAATCTCTGTCTGATCGAAGGATGAACCATAAGCTAACTCAGATGTATAAAATAACTAACAATTTATCACCCACATACCTCCATGACATAATTGATCCTCTTATTCATAACCCTGAAAATGATAGGTATACTTTAAGAAATGTAAGAATGTTTAACCCACCACTATGTCGTACAGAATCATATGCAAAAAGCTTCTTCCCAGTAATGTGCAACAAGTTCAATGGACTTGAAAATGATACAGTACATTCCTTTACTCTTAATAAATTTAAGGCCAAGGTAAATAACGACATATGTTTAAATAATGATATATCTGATGTATTTAAAAATTGTGAAAGCAGAAAGGGTAACATAATCTTATGTCAACTGAGAAATGAAGCGAGCAACCTGAACTATGATCTGTTCAATGATCCCTTGAGAGAGTCTTCATCTTGTCTGTGGTGATGCTTATGAAACTGCTACCCATTATCTTTTACAATGTCCAATGTATACTGATGAGAGACAAACTTTAATAAATGAGATTTTTGAAGTGTGTCCGGTTAATCTTGATATTAAAATACTTCTTAATGGAAGTACTATTTTAAACAATACTGAAATTAAATCCTTACTTGATAGTGTTCTTAAATATATATACAACACAAGAAGACTTGTTTAATTAATCAAAACAATCTATAAATTTTGTTATATATAGTCATAACTGATAAAATACTGTCCTGAAACCATTATGTGATTCTACTGATTGCTATATATACATTGATGTTTATACTATACACCTAAAGGATTAAGCTTTGTGTGCTGTTTTTACTGATGAGCGCATTGGTAAAACATAAATGTGTTAAGTTTGAATGCTTAGTGTTCTGTGGTTGAATCTGGATTCTTCTCGAGTGGATGATATGTGAACGGTAGAGGCCGTTAGAGACTTTTTGTCTGAAACTCGATGGGATAAAAGATTTACATATAGAACACTGGCAATACATCTTACACATACACTACAATTTCAAAATCTTCTTGCTGAATTGCCTCATTTCATTTTTTATATTTTGATGTTGTTGTATTCCTTACTTTTTATCACTCCTACCAATGATATATATTGATATTAAATGGTTCTATACTTTTAACTACTTCATTCAACAGCAGCAGGGTATGAACAGGGGGCATTAATGACTTGCAAAAAACCACACCAAAAAACACCAATTGTAACAATTTCTCTGTTTAATATATCATTAGGGCATTGCTTTCCTATTACTAAAAACCTCGAGCTAGTCGGATCATTTTATAAACCACATAACGTAATTTTATGAAAATCACCGGCGTAGGCCGTTTGTATTACCTCTATATTCTTCGTCCATCATTTATGTGTAAGACTAGTCATATGTAATAACTTTGATCTTCGTCCATCAAATATGAGTAAAACTACACGTCTGTATTACCTCTGTGTCCTTTGTCTATTATATATGAGTAAAACTACTCGTCTGTATTACCTCTGTGTCCTTTGTCTATCATATATAAGTAAAACTACTCGTCTGTATTACCTCTGTGTCCTTGTCTATTATATATGAGTAAAACTACTCGTCTGTATTACCTTTGTGTCCTTTGTCTATTATATATGAGTAAAACTACTCGTCTGTATTACCTCTATGTCTTTTGTCTATTATATATGAGTAAAACTACTCGTCTGTATTACCTCTGTGTCTTTTGTCTAGCATATATGAGTAAAACTACTCGTCTGTATTACCTCTGGGTCCTTTGTCTATTATATATAAGTAAAACTACTCGTCTGTATTACCTCTGTGTCTTTTGTCTAGCATATATGAGTAAAACTACTCGTCTGTATTACCTCTTTGTCATTGTCTATCATATATGAGTAAAACTACTCGTCTGTATTACCTCCGTGTCTTTTGTCTAGCATATATGAGTAAACCTACTCGTCTGTATTACCTCTGTGTCCTTGACTATTATATTTGAGTAAAACTATTCGTCTGTATTACCTCTGTGTCCTTTGTCTATCATATATAAGTAAACCTACTCGTCTGTATTACCTCTGTGTCCTTGTCTATTATATATAAGTAAAACTACTCGCCTGTATTACCCCTGTGTCCTTCGGCTATTATATATAAGTAAAACTACTCGTCTGTATTACCTCTGTGACCTTTGTCTATTTTACGTGTGTAAGACTGATCAGTACGACCGCCCGTTTGTTTGACCGTTGTATACACGTCTATCGTAGACCTTTATCGAACACACGTGTGTCTTACTGTTGTGTCTTTCGACCATTTTAGATCAGTACGACCATCCCCTCGGCATGGCGAAGAAGCTGTTTGAAGCTCGTTTGGCGAACATGCCCATTGGAAATCTAACTGCCCTGAACGACAAGTTCGAGTTGTTCATATTGGACTGCAAATATAGAGGAAACAAATGTAACGAGCAGTATGTAATTTGATCATTTTCCCTTTAGAATGCTGAAAGAATATCTAAAATTTAGAAGTATATAACGGGAAAAGATTATCCAACAGGATACAGGAAGTTAGCAGGCATACAAAATATGTTTTACATAAAAGCAATTGTTTCTATGAGATTTGGAGGCGAAAAAGGTCGAAACCAAATAGTGTATTATACATAGCGTTTTGACTATCCAAAGTCTTGAATGCAGCCAATAGCATAAACGTACGTACCAAGGAAATGTTGTTTGTTCATATGATAGGAAGCTTAACTCAATAATCAAACATTAGCTGATGATAGGAGCCTTAACTCAATAAACAAGCATTAGCTGATGATAGGAGCCTTGATACAATAATCAAACATTAGCTGATGATGGGAAACTTAACACAATAAACAAGCATTAGCTGATGATAGGGACCTTAACTCAATAATCAAACATTAGCTGATGATAGGAGCCTTAACACAATAATCAAACATTAGCTGATGATATGAGGGTTTACACAATAATCAAACATTAGCTGATGATAGGAAGCTTAACTCAATAATCAAACATTAGCTGATGATAGGAGCCTTTACACAATAATCAAACATTAGCTGATGATAGGAGGCTTAACTCAATAAACAAGCATTAGGTGATGATAGGGGCCTTAACTCAATAATCAAACATTAGCTGATGATAGGAGCCTTTACACAATAATCAAACATTAGCTGATGATAGGAGCCTTAACTCAATAAACAAACATAAGCTGATGATAGGAGCTTTAACACAATAATCAAACATTAGCTGATGATAGGAGCGTTAACTTCATAATCAAACATTAGCTGATGATAGGGGCCTTAACTTAACAATCAAACATTAGCTGATAATAGGAGCCTTAACACAATAATCAAACATTGGCTGATGATAAGAGCTTTAACACAATAATCAAACATTAGCTGATGATAGGGGCCTTAACTCAATAATCAAACATTAGCTGATGATAGGAAGCCTTAACTCAATAATCAAACATTAGCTGATGATAGGAGTATTAACTCAATAATCAAACATTAGCTGATGATAGGGGCCTTAACACAATAATCAAACATTAGCTGATGATAGGAGCCTTAACACAATAATAAACATTAGCTGATAATAGGAGCCTTAACACAATAATCAAACATTAGCTGATGATAGGAGCCTTATTACAATAATCAAACATTAGCTGATAATAGGAGCCTTAACTCAATAATCAAACATTAGCTGATAATAGGAGCCTGAACTCAATAATCAAACATTAGCTGATGATAGGAGCCTTAACACAATACTCAAACATTAGCTGATGATAGGAGCCTTAATTCAATATTGTCTTCATTTCATATGGAGATAAGTGTTAGCTATGGTATACAGTTTACTGTGTATGGTATTTTAAGCGTAAAACTACGGTAAAAAAATCCTCTGTAAAGTATTTGAAACGTTTGAAACAGGAGATATTAGCCAGGTGGTATAGGACTAGTAGTTAGCGCCTGATAAGGCAGCTCCTGCGAATTCCTCGTAATTGTATTGATTAAGATATATGCTAATTGTATTGACTGTTGTATATTTATTTACTGTAAAACGCTTAAGAGTTGCTTATTTTAGCTAGATGGAGCGCTATATCAAATGTTGTATATTTATTTCTATTTTTTTTAAAATCTACGGTAACATTTTCATGTGTACAGTATTGTAAACGTTAAAACTAGGTAACAATTTCCTGTGTGAAGTATTTTAAACGTTAAAACTACAGTAACATTTTCCTGTTTACAGTATTTTAAACGTTAAAACTAGGTAAAATTTTCCTGTGTAAAGTATTTTAAACATAAAAACGACGGTAACATTTTCCTGTGTACAGTATTTTAAATGTTTAAACTACGGTAACATTTTCCGGTGTACAGTATTTTAAACGTTAAAACTACGGTAATATTTTCCGTGTACAGTATTTTAAACGTTAAAACTACGGTAACATTTTCCTGTGTACAGTATTTTAAACGTTGAAACTACGCTAACATTTTCCGTGTACAGTGTTTTAAACGTTAAAACTACGGTAACATTTTCCTGTGTACAGTATTTTAAACGTTGAAACTACGGTAACATTTTCCGTGTACATTATTTTAAACGTTTAAACTACGGTAACATTTTCCGTGTACAGTATTTTAAACGTTAAAACTAGGGTAACATTTTCCGTGTACAGTATTTTAAACGTTAAAACTAGGGTAACATTTTCCGTGTACAGTATTTTAAACGTTGAAACTACGGTTACATTTTACAGTGTGCAGTATTTTAAACGTTAAAACTACGGTAACATTTTCCGTGTACAGTATTTTAAACGTTGAAACTACGGTTACATTTTACAGTGTGCAGTATTTTAAACGTTAAAACTACGGTAACATTTTCCGTGTACAGTATTTTAAACGTTGAAACTACGGTTACATTTTACAGTGTGCAGTATTTTAAACGTTAAAACTACGGTAACATTTTCCTTTGTACAATAAACTAAAATACACACAATTATGTGAATGAAACATTAAAAGGAAAATGTTGCGATTTAAAAGTCATATTTCGATAAACTTATGTTTTTATGATGCTTCATTTGCAGGAATTTCACCGTTGTTCGCGAAGGCCATCGCATATGTTACAAAATGAACAATGATTTGTTCTATACAGAAACTGCTGGCCCTGATGACGGTAAATACATGTATACCGTTAGTAATGTTTAGTGTTCAAATCAAACGTTAAGTGTTCAAATCAAATGTTTAGTGTTCAAATCAAATGTT